GGCTGACTTGTAAGGAGGATCAGCTATGCCCTATGCTCCAGTGCAAGCTTCCGTAATTAAATAGCTTACCCTCCTCTTCTATTGCCTCTGTATCCCTTTCTTGCCATCCTTCAAGCAAGGAGGCACGATCAGAATAGGAGCAAGGATAGGAGCCTACATACACAAGAGTCGGGGGCATGTTAAGCGGTGGGAGCAGGATACATGGAACGCATGTGGATTTTATCCATGGCAAGGAAGATCTTAGAATTCCTCTGACTTCACTCTGGCTTTTCCCTAGCTGGAAAGATCCTGCAACATCTGGCAGCAATCAATGGCATTCAAGTATTATGCTCTCCCTGCTCCATGTTCCCTGTATCCCCACCTTCCCTGTAGCTTTGGAGCCCCACCAGAGCTGCCCCACTTTGTGACCCACCACTAGGAATCTCTCAACAACCACCAATGTGAAATTAAGTTGTACCCAAAGCAGTTTAAGTGACAATAAATTTAACTGCCTTTCAAAGAGAACAAGGGAATGTATGTCACCTATCCCACGCACTGCACAAGTTGTGTGAACACAAGTCACTACAACCTGAAAAACTGGATGGAGACTAAACACAGCAATCCAACACAGACAAGCCTGTGTCTGCTCACCCCAGATACCACCTCCGTCTGTCATCCCTCCCCTTACAAAAGCCCTCCTGCAAGCCTCTTTACCTTGGGGCCCCCTCTGCCTGCAGCATCCCTCTGTAATGCGCCCAGGTAATCCCCACGGAGGAGCTCAGTCATCATCATCAGAAATCTTTGCCCTCACCACCTGCCCCATGACATTTTCTTCAGCTGCCTTCCTAATTCCCTGACACGCAATCGCCCTTCCACTTGCCAAGCACTTTCCTCAGGGCCACACCTCCCACCCTGGAGGCTGTGATACTGATATTGGTGTCCCCCCAGGCTTCCTGCCTCCATATAGCCTACCCGCCTCGCCTACCTTCACCAAGGAAAACAAGAAGGTGGAAGGCAGCACAGTGAAAGGAGGAGCTACATCTGGGTCAGTGTGTTAGCTGTGCTGTCTGCAGGACTTTGAAACCCTCTGCTTCCAGGAAATGTCCATTCTGAAGAACAGAGGGACTGATCTCTTGATACTTGTCCCCTAAGAAAGCCACTGTTTGCTGCCCAGACACAAGCACTGACCAAACAGGACTGCTTGTCCTGGTGACCAGGAGGCCAAGGGAACCAGGATATGGCTGCACTAGAGACAGTAAACCAGACTCCAGCACTGCTGGGTCTCAGATCCAATCCAAGACCAGACCTTCAGGACCTCCTCTCCTTTGCCCTTTCACTTGTTCCTTACTTCCTTTCCCCTCACCTCCAAAAGGCTGGGGCAGAGGTGCCACCACAGGGATCTCACTGTCACAGTAGCAGACCCAGCAGGCCAGCACCAACCCCAGACCAGACATGGGGTCTGCAAGTTCTGCAAGGTCCCTTGGCTTTGCTGCCCTTTCCCTGCTCCCATAGAGGGGCTGGAGGGACAAGGACACAGACCCTGTGGGGCCAGGCTGGCTCTTGACATGTGAGCAGGCAGCAGCAGTTCCCTGGTGCCTCTGAGCTTCCCATAGGCATGGTGCAACACATCTCACCTCACCAGCTCATCTGTTGCTACAAAAATCTGGAAGCACCACTGGCCACTTCCTTCACTTTAAAGCTTGCTGGTTGTCTTCACAGCTGAAGCAATCAGGTGTCCTCACTTGCTCCACCAGGGACAAGGACTCCGCCTTTAGGTATACAACAATTATGACTGCTTCAGAGTTACTCTGGCTCATTAATTTTGTAAAAGGCTGACAGTTTTCCTTCTTTCAGACAAGGAGTGTTGGTACTTGGCACCTGTGACCGTGCTAAAACATTCTGAATTCTCCCAACCATGCTTTCTTCCACCCCATCATGGGCCAAATAAGCACAGAAAATGTGATTATTCTATTGTGCATTGGATTGTTTCAGGCTTTTTATCTGCATTTGTTAAAGTGTAGGTCACAAATGGGCAGGGTTTGAGAACTATAAACAAATTCCTCTTGTAGTTTTTCCTGAGAGTCATCTTGTCTTAGATCTGTTATAAAAATCTCTTATCAGCTCATTTCACATTGAATGGGTATTTTGATAGTTATACGATCTGTTTCTGATGTGCCTGTTGTTTCAAAGTTCTACGCTTTTTTCCAGACTAAAAATGGCTTTGAAAGCAGGATACTTATTACTGATTGAGGTAATTTTTATTTTCTATAAAAACAGATAGGGATAGCCATAGCAGAATAATTATCCCACTGAGATGAACACCAGTTTATTTCCCCTCATAAATAAGTATGGCTAGATTCAATGACAACATGGGCCATTGTAGCCAGTAAGGCCTTAGAACAGGGGGATCTTCTTGGTCATATTAATATCTCTCCAGACAAAGTCAGCCTTGATTTGTCATTAAGTCCTTTACTCAGAACACCATGTTAAGGACTGCACACAGAAACTACCACAACAGCGGCAACTAATATTCCCAATAGTTTACAAAGGTCAGAGTTATTTAATGCCCTTGCCATGTGACCAAGGGTCAGTCATGCCAGACCTGGAAATAGACTTCAAGCCTTCTAATTTTGTAATCCCATTATCCCGTTCCCCACCTCCACAGCAAGTGGAATTCCTGGACCTCCTTCTGTTCTCTTCCACCTTAGCATCTCTGCAGCCAAAGCTCCAAGAAGGGTAACGTGACGGGAATGTGCAACTGGATCCCCCAGCCTCCCCTTCTCACCACACACTCATGCATCTGCCCCGTACCCGCTCTCTAGGACAGGTCCCATTTCACCCCCCGGCTTTTGCGCTGAGCTCTGTACCCATCACTACCTATCTCCTGCATTCCCGCTCTTGCACATTACATGTCCCCCTTCCCTTTGCAAGAGTTATCTTCTGCATCATATCTTCACCACCATCTTTCTCCTCTCCAGCCGCCTTTTTTTCCAACATATATCTCCTCCTCTCTTTCTCAAGCTTAATCTAGACTGAGTTTAAGGTGTGATGTTAGCCACAAAGGATTATCCGGTCATTTAACCAGTCTAATATGGACACAGCAGACTGGTTTTAAGTCACGTTAAATGGATCAAGTTAGAAGCTAAGACGTGTAGTTTAAATTCTAACTGAGGCAAGAAATCAGTGTTTCTTTGCATATTGCTCAGTTTTTATCAGGCTTTGATGTTCTTTCCAAGAGTCTCTCCTTGGTTTTATTCTGGTCATCGTCTTTTGGAACCTGTCTCTTTTCCCTCCCTTTATGCCCCGAAAAGGCTCCTTTACACCACTTCTTCATCACCCTAAGCAGGACGCAAGTCTTGTTTTTCTCCTTCAGACTCAGCTACCCACAAGGTGTTCTTTTACCCACTCTCAGGCAAATTACATGGCTTTTCTCACTTAAATACTTCCCCTTTTTATGTGTTTATGTTAATTTATGTTTGCTTCTTATTCCAAGTTTATTGCTCCTGCCTCAATGTCAAATACTTTTTTTTTTTTTTTGAAAAACAAAGAACTTTTTTCCATGTTAGATATGGATAAGGTGAGGCCAGGATCTCAGAGGACTGCTGCTAATCATACAGGGAGGCAGAGAGGGAACAAAAGAGAGACTAGAAAATAAGGCTGGAGTGAAAGCACAAAGGCAAAAGGTTACAGATAGGACTGAGTAACACCTAACATCAAGAACAATGAGAAGGCCTGATCCCGCCTTCCCAGTGATGCTTCTGGTACCCAGGTGAGGGCCGGTGGTAGCAAAAACCAGACTGCGTAATGGGGATCCAAGCAGCTCCAGCGCTCCCCTCCACTGGCCGCTGCCTGGGGACACCGGGCAGGGCTGCTGGGGACAGGCTGCTCCGGATTGCTCCCCTTTGCCCTGTGAGACAACGGGTCCCTGATGAGTGCCAAAACCATCTCTGTTAGCCGAACCACAGCATTCGTGTTTGAGGCTGCAGATGGCTGAATTATTGGGGGAACTCCAGTGAAATTCCAGCTATTAATTTTGTCTTACTCATTCAACTCTAAGGTCAACCAGTAGGTTTTTTATGTCTTTAAATGCACACTAATATACCACAACACTCTTGTCTCCTTACAGCACTCAACCGTTTCCTCCAGTGAGCTGGATTTTCTTTCCTTGCTGCTGTTAAAAGAGGGCAGAAGCTACAAGAAAATGGTAAACAGGAAGCCCTAAAAGGCCAGATCATTTACAAACGAACATACGCACACGTATCCATAATGTATTGTGGATAATGTTAAATAGCATGTAAGAGTTATTTGTTTTGCTGTATCCTTTTGCACTTAAGAAATACTGATGCATGACCTTGGTTCAACCAGTATAAAGAGCTTCTTGGTCTGCTCCCCAGATGTGCACAGATCTGTAAAACTTCCTACAGCTTTTCTGTGACAGTGGAATGTAGAAGGCATTATTATTTGGCTACGGCAGAGCTCTTCCTGTTTTCTTGCAGGGGATCTGCAATGTGCGTCACGTCTGTTGCTTGTGTATTGAAGAGAGTTTCTGGATTTCCCTCCTGTGCTGTAAGACTGCAGACTTACAGCCAAGTCCCATTTTTCCCAAGGTTCCCAGCTCTAGATCTTTCTGAGACTTAAAATTTCCTTTATCTTGCTTTTAGCTACAGGTTTACAGATGGGTTTTCTGGGGTACTTAAATCTTGGCAAGCGTTCGTTTTAACAATGCTCACTTCCCAAACCTCCCACCTGCAGCTGCGTCCCACTGCCCTCTCTGGTGCCCATCAGGCGGCTTCCCAGCTGCCCTCCCGGTGATTCCATCCCCCTGCTCACCAGTCTCCCCTCCTTCCCTCTCCTTCCTTCCTCCCTTTCTCTTCCTTTTTGCTTTCTATGAATGACTGTAACGCTGCCAGGACTTGGCAGATGAGCCGCCCCCGTCTCCAAATTAGCTAAATTAGCTAAAATAGCTGTATTAGCTACATTAGCTGTGTGCGGTACGGGAAAACCCTCTTTCACAAGCTCACCTCTGCCAATCCTGGACAAGAGAGGGCCATTTTTAGGGATTCAATTTCCTGCGGTCATTCAGCTGTCTGACGCTGTTTGCTTCTGAGCTGAGCCCCGGCGCCCAGCCAGGGCAGGCCGTGAGGTGTGCGGTGATGCACCCAGTTATTTATGATGTAGAAATGCGCCCGTTGCCCCTGGAAACCGGCTCTCCCCCTCACCTCCGGCAGGGGTTGCTAAGCAATGCGCTTGTGCTTTGGGGGGGTAGCGGGGTGCGGGGCTAAGGCCTGGCAGCACTTCTCTCAGGAGTGACCTGTTGCAAAATAGGAGGGCAGGGGCAGGCAAGGCAACCGCCGCTTGGCGGCAGAGGCCACGCTGGGGGTGGCTGATGTATCGTAATGGAGGTGGCTGGTTTATCGTAAGGTTCGACTGACAGCCGGTTGCTTGCCAGAGACAATAAACTGATGGGATGGAGGGAAGAGCAAACCGGTTCCCATGGCAACCGTGCTGAAGTCATCTGAGGTCAAAATGATGACTGAGGCTGCCAGAGAAAACGAGTTTTGATGCGAGGATAAATCCCACGGCAGTGACTGCGTGACTCAGTCTGCCACACCCCCCTCACACCCCCCCCAACTGGACTGCGTGGCTCCCCGCTACGGTGCTCCTCGGGGCTCTCCCAAAGCCCGATCAACTATCTCGATGCCTGTCCTGAATTCACCCCTAGCTATTTTTGTTTCTGGGTCACGGAGAACACATCTGCATAGCCAGCGGAGGTTGGTTGCAGTGCGGGCTGGCACATCCACGCTCCCCATAATCGTGAGCAAAGGCTGCCCACGGCAGCCAACTGCAACCAACCCACCACCGGCTGTCAGGGAAGGCTTCGTTGTCCTCAATTACCCGACTTCCTAAAAAGCCAACATATACGTGCCTAGTGACGATAAAATCACGTCGGCTTGTTTCTGTCTGTCTTTTTTTTTTTTTTTTTTTTTGGTGGCAGGCAGGCAGCCTTTGCAGACCTCCTGCAAACCCTTTTGGCCAGGAAAGCAGCTGGAATTCAGTAGTCTCTGCAGAATCCCCCTGCGCTGAAACGGATTTCTGTTGCCATCTGGTGGCAACAGAAAGCACCCGGAACTGCAGAGTAAACACCAAGGTCCGTCCCCCCACCCCATCCTGCCATTCTCTGAGCCGGGCTTGTTCTCCTCCATTTATTCCACGGGCCTTTACTCCGGCCGCATCACAGTTTCCTCACTTTAGAAGGGGGCGGGGTAGAACATTAATGCTATTCGATTGTTTGTTTGTTTGTTTGTTTATTATCTTATCTAATCTAATCTAGGTTCCGGGTTATACCCGTCATTGCAAGTCTTCTGCACTGTTTTCAACGCTGGCAATTTTCTTGACTACTCTGCATGCAGTCAAGACTCCCTCCTAACCTCTGAACCTTGCGGTTTAGCTCACCCTAAATTAGAAATCTTCACTGTAGCCCGAAATGTTGCTGAATGAGTCATCCACAGTGGGCCAGTTAATGAACGTAAATTTTACTGACCCCATCTGCCTGTTGCAGAAATCGCCTTACAGGACTGCACCCCTGCTCACTGGGGAACATATGACCCACCAGCCAGCCTCAGGCTCCCTCTCCCTCTAGCCCAGGGCCCCAATCACTGTCTTAGGGCACCTGTGAGGTGGTTTGGCCTGCCACGTTCCTTTTGTGGGCACTATTGCAGCTTCTGCTGGAGCCTGGCTTAAGGCTGCAGTGGAAGAGTTTCTGCAGGTAGCTGCAAATTCACCCTCTTGTCATCTCATTATTCCCTGACAGAGAATAATTCCCTTCCCATTTAAGGAGGGCACCAAACCCAAAGACTGCATGGACGATTCAGAAGCAGGGCATCTTGATGGCGTTTGACTGTAGTCCTCCTTTGGTTTTTGTTGCTACTTATGCTTAGTTCCTTGTTGGAGCCCTGCCTTTGTGCCTCCCCCCCATGCCAGCCTTGCTCTCACCCCTGTTCCCTGCTCCAGCCCAGCCACATCTGCCTGCTGGAACCACCCAACCTCGTTCATGACCATCTTGCCTAAATTCCAACAAACTGATTTTACCAGTCAGGCAGAGACCCCCCTGTGAATCTCCCACTCCAGTGTTCCCAGAGGCAGGGATGACTCATGGCATCTTCTAACTCCCGGTAACTCAGCTGATGAAATCCCAGGAGCAGCCAGCTGCACTCCAGCCCCCTGCAATGTTGGCGCTCCAGCGCCAGCTTCCCATGCAAAACTGTCTCTGGAAGTGCAGCAACTCCTTCAGTAGCCCCATCTCAGAGCTGAACCTTCCTTTGCCACACAAAACTAATGAAGACCACCGCGTGCTGTTTTGGTGGTGTTTGCTTATGTTATAAGTAGCTTTTGACTCAGTCTCCTGTGTGAGCTGTTGATGGTGTCATGAGGACCCAAACCAGCCCTCCACTGCAGAAAGTGAGGCATTTCTTTTAACAGTTTTTGTAGACCCCAGAAGAGGGCAGTCAGCAGAAGCTGCACTCACAACATTAAAGCAAAGGCAGAGGGACTGTGTGGGGAGATTCGGCAGTACTGTCACCCTCAGCCATGGTCCCAGGAAGGAACCCTGCAATGCAGCATTCCCACTTCCAAATGGGGCCGATAGGAAACATCATGGTGCAGCTGTAAACGTCCTTTGCTTTAGGTAATTTATTTTTTATTCTCTACATCAGTACTGACATCCGCTGTCAGGACAGGAAGGCTGAGTGTTTGAGGGGCTCATAACTGGCAGTGATTCTCTCACCCAGCTCTCTGGAGCTTCATCTTTCAGCTTCATGTCCAGTCCAGTGCATTCACAACAGTCACCTCAGGCCATAGAGCAGAGATGGGCACTGGAGAGTTGTTTACCACCACACTGCTGGACGGTGGGGGGGGACAGATGATGGTCATCAGCCATTTTGAGTTAAACACCTGATTCCACAGACATCACACACCTAGGCAGTCCAAGACACCCCACCAACCTGTCAGCCCACTGCTCTTCTTCAAAATGAGGTAACCCCATCCCACCACAGTATGATGGCAATGGGTCACATGAGTCTGAAAGTCCCAGGGGTCTCTAGAAACTTCACAGGCACAGAATTTTATTAAGAATATTAATGGTTTTTTACATTTATTAATGTTAGGCCAGCAGTGGATCTTCATTCACTCCAAACTATTTTGTGACAGAGATTACTTGGTTACACAACCACACTAGTAAATGAAATGGTGTCTGAGTGTTCCCCAGCACCGAAACTGGATGTTTAGTTTTGTCAAGAGCCAACTAGCATCTTCCAAACAGCTCTGCTCATGGTTTAGGAGTCAGCACATGGCAAGGAATGGTCCAGAAGGAAGGTTGCAGGCAGCCAGCCTGTTATGGAGGGTAAGAGAGTTTAACACTATGGCCATGCCGTGCCCACTAGCCCCAGAACCACAGAAGAGTCTTGGTTAATTTCCTACCAGAGAGTCAGATTTCTCTCTGAGTGGGCACTGAGCCAATTTATAGACACTTTGTATACTTTTCATACTTCCCAATTACTTCAGGCTCTCTGTATGGTACCAAAATCATTTGGGGCAAGGGACTAATGCAGTTCAGGTCCAAAGTCATCTTTCACTAGCATGTCTCTACATGCAATGCTTGATTCACTGTGATGACAGAGCCAAGTTTATTGATTTTTTTAGGTTGCATTGTCTTTATAAAATTAGAGCTTGTTGCTGGTTTTCTGGATCCAGGTTACTGGAAACACTGGTTAATAGGTCAAGTGCATTGCTCTACCACAGAGTCACGCTTTACCACACGACTCCCACTGATTTGATCCCAGACACGAAGACTCACAGCCAAAGCCAATGCTGCTTTGAAACAAAGCCAGGTTACTCTGAATAGGGTTAACATAGGGTTCGTCTGTTCCCAGAGCTTCACCTACAGTTCTCCACATTCTTTCTGAGCTGGAAAGGAGAGCTTCCTTAAATCTTGTGCTGCCTATCAAGAAGTGAAGCGGAGTACTGGGAAATACAAGTACCTCTTTCATTGCACCCCAAGTTATCAAGTAATCTCTCTCCCTGACACAGACTCCTTAAGCACAGGGCAGTATTTTTGGAACAGCAGCCATTCAAAAATACTTCAAAAACCTTACACAAGCCTTTGTAAATACTTTTTTTTCTCATCCTGTGTCTCCTCAAATGTTTGAGACAAAAATCTTCCTATTATGCACAGGAACACAGTTATCCCACTTCCTCATTCCTTAGGCAGAAGGGCATCTGATGCTGACTATCCCTATAAACCAACAACTTCAGAACACAATTAGCAATATTGTCAAAAAAATCCTGCAAATAATTAGGACCGTGTCTGGCCAATGGTAACACCACATGAAGGGGTACGTTGTGCTTTCAAATGTGGACTGATCAGAAAGCGTTGATAGTTCAGAGAGTGGAACTGAATTAAGTTCAAGTTAAATGGCTGTTTCCTTTTCCTGTTTCCACTCTACCACCTCAGGCTGAGTGGAAGAGTAGGACAGCAGATGCCTGTCTGTGAAAGGAAACGTTAGTCAGCCCCCTTCTTGAGCGCTGTATCTCCATTTTAAATTCTGTTATGTTTCAGTGTGACTCACACACTGTTGGGACATCCTTCGCTACAGTTGCTCCTGGGCATCTGCCCCCTACCAGATAATTCAGCATCCTCAGCCAGGACGTTCCCCCTCACAACATCTCAGCAGCTCATGGGGACATAACCCTAATAAATACCTTGATCCCAAGCATACTGTCATTGATGACAGCGCTAGACACTCATGAAAGCTACATAAATGTCCAATTCTTTCTGAAAGCCAGTGAAGTATTTGGCTCAACCGCTTTCTTCAGCAATGAATTCACCAGTGTAATCTCATGATATGGAAAACTGTTTCCCCATTTTCATCCCCCAGTTTCATTGAATGGTCCCTTTGTTCTCATATTATGATACAGAAAGAACAGAAGCTCTCAAGTCTACTTTTCCTACTCTAGAAATTATTTTATAAACTATCTGCCCACTTTTATATCTCTCCTTTCCAAAACAGCAACCTTGTTTTTTCTAATCTCTCAGAGA